CTCTGGGGGTCATCTAGTCCACCCCTCCTGCCAAAGCAGGGTCACCTACAGCAGGCTGCACAGGACCTTGTCCAGGCGGGTTCCCCGTATCTCGTCTGGCAATCGGGGCGGGGGGGAGGACGTGTGTTGAGGAATTTACTCATTTTACATTTACTTCAGGTAATTTTAGAAGGTGGGGAAGGGAGACTGGTGAACCCATTTCTTTGCCTTAATGGTCTTCAGTGGCTTTTTTCTAGCCCCTCACCTCACTTCTTTTAGCTTGTAAGCTCCTGCTGCTCTTGCACTGGAGTTTTAAGCTGTTTTCTGTTGCCCCCAGTTGGCTGAAACCTGACATGGGAAAAAAGGCCAAGCACAAGACACAGATTAAGAAGAAAACATTGAATCCTGAGTTTAATGAGGTAAGGATGGATTTTTTAATATATATATAATTAAATCAACTTAGCTAATTACGATGCTGTGTGGAGGAGGTGGAAGACAAACTCCCTGAGGTTCAGGTCCTCGCTCAGGCTCCTTTCCCCACCCCCCCCATGCACCCAGGAATATTTTAGGAATGACTTTTGCCATGGGAGATCTCACCAGGTCAGTGCCAGACAGCGCCGTATGCACCGAAACCTCCCTGCTGCTGGTGCTGCCCAGTCCCTGTCCCCCCGGCCGGGGTCTGGGTGGGATGAGCATCACCGGGGGGTCCCATGGCTGGTGCTGCCTTGATGGGGCACCTGCAAAGTGCTCACACAGACATGAGGGGTGAGCTCAGCTTGTGGGTTTGAGCAGCACACTGTGATCCTGGGAGGAGAGGTGCCGCAGGGAAGGAGCATTCGCTCTTCATTTGTGTATTTTTAAATATCCTTTTGTTGGATTTTGAATTCAGTCTCTACAGAGGGTTCACTTGCAATTCCTTAATTGCAGTTTTCTGGGTGCATTTTCCTGAGACTCTTGGTGTGACGTGGGTGTTCTCCTTCTGCAGGAGTTCTTCTATGATATAAAACACAGCGATCTGGCCAAGAAATCACTGGACATTTCCGTCTGGGATTACGACATTGGAAAATCGAATGACTACATCGGTGAGCTGAAAGTCTCCATGCTCTGGGGTGCAGTTTGGATGCCCCAATATCATGCTCGCTGTACGGGAGGGATGTGTAGGTCACCTGCCCTGCGAGGAACCCCAGCTCTGAGGTGGGACCACGCAGCTTGGTTGGGCGCTTCTGTCAGGCAGGCCATCAGATGGCTGATCCAGCGTTGGGACCCACCGCACTGCCCCGTCTCCAGCATCCTGTGGGGTCTGCTGTGCACGCAGAGCAGCTCTAGTTGTTTCCACTACATTTTAAACCCAGGAGGTGGAGAGAAATGCCGCAGTCGTGGGCTTTCTCCCCATGGAAATGGTTCTCTGGAACATCAACATCATCTCTGAGTAGGATGTCTCTTCTCCCTTTCTTCCAGGCGGCTGTCAGCTCGGCATTACGGCTAAGGGGGAGCGCTTGAAACACTGGTATGAATGCTTGAAGAACAAGGACAAGAAGATTGAGCGCTGGCACACCCTCCAAAATGAGCACCACGTTGCCAGCGATTGAAGGGAGCCGCTGCCCGAGCCTCCCCAGACGGCCCGTCCTCTGCCAAGCCCCCGTAGATCTCTGATGTCCGTCTTCCAGCGCAGTCATGCCTTGCTCCACGCCTCTGGTCCCAGGGCAGCAACGCTCTTCTGCCTCCTCCGAGCATCCTCTGTGCCCTCTTCCACCTGAAAACTAACCCAGATCTTTTGTATTCACTTCTCTTGGGGTTTTGGGAGGGGGGGGGTGGGTGAGTTCTCCCGGTGTGTAATTTTGCCAAGCAATAGTTACCCTCTGACTGTTCCTCTTTCTCACTAGTCTCACGCACGCCGTGATAGCGTTCCTGTCTCTGTGTGTGTGTGATGCTGTGCTCCTCCAGCCTCCGCTCGCGTGGCTCGTCCCGTCGCCACCGGCTCGTGGCTCCTTTCATGTCCCGGCGCGACGCGCGGCCACCAGCCCGCTGGCGAGGGGAGCTGAGCGCCGGTGGCAGAGCATCGGCCCCTTCTGCTTGCGTGATCTCGATACCTCAGTTGCAATAATGAACAAGCTGTTTGGCTTTGGTGTGGGTCGTAACCGTAGCCTGGTGTCTGTGTTGTCGTGGTTAGGCTAACGCCTGTGTCACCGATGTCACCCTGCGAGTCCTGCTTCAGCTTTCGTTCCGAGTTGGTACGTTTGAGCAATATCGCGGTACGTCCTTTGCTGAGAAGATCCACCAGTAACACAACAACGAGAAACAGGGAGCCGCTCCGCACTC